GCGGGGCCCGGGTCACGCCGCAGAGCAGAAACGCAGCGCGGAACTGAAGCCGAGTTTACCTACGCAGCCGTTTTTCAGTGCCTTACAAGTCAGGCTGCGGGTAACAGAGCTCGCTCTCCCCGCGTTACGCCCGCAAATCGAGACGCAAAGCAAAACCAGGCTGGACGTGGCTTTGCCAGGCTGGATGAGGCTTTGAGCAACCTGGTCTAGGGGAAGGTGTCCCTGCCCATGGCAGGGGGGTTGGAACTAGATGGGCTTTAAGATCCCTTCCAACCCAAACCATGCTGTGATTCTATGAAACCCACCTGTTTCCATCATTCTCCGTCAGAAACACTTCTGCAAGTGTATTTTTTGGTGCAAGATCGCACCAAAAGAGTGTTTTCTCAGACCAACACATCAGGTAGCCGAGATGAGCACTCAGGGCTTCCCTGCACGAAGGTGACAGATTTCATGTAGTTCTGGCTGCGCACTTTACTCGTGTGCCCAAACATGAGGCACTAAAAGAGTGAGTTATTCCCCCAAACTTCACGGCAAGCTCACTGAGGAACTGGGTAAGAACCAAATGCCATTGAATGGCAAGCGCGGGTGGATGTCAGCTGAACAGAGCGGACCTGCGGGCGGGCCATGAATCCCTCATTCCGTAACGTTCCCCCCACCGTTGGCCCAGGTGCCTGCTCTCCTCCCTCGCTGCCACCCAGACAAAATACCTGACTTCGATTGCAGATTGGGCAGGTTCATCCCTAAAGGGTACGGCTGGATAAAGCCTTGGGAGCTTTCAGTGACCGTCAGGAGGACTGTGAAGCAAAACTCAGCCGGCAAACGTTGCCACAGGAAAAATGGGAGCCGGTGAATTGTCAGAGCGGGGCCTGACGTCGGGGAACCGGCTTGTGGGGACAGGACGCGAGATGAGAATTTGGGGAGATTCCATCTTCACAGCTCAGCATGCAGAAAAGCCCCGTCACTTCGAGACCACTGGAATGGTGGTATCTTACTGCAGGGAAAAGGGAAGAGACGGCAAATACTGCAAAATATGAGAAGCAGTGTGGTAAAACAAAGCCGCCGTGGGAAGGAAAGTCACCCTAACCCGCATGGAGACCAAACAGCACTGAGAAATCGGAAAGTCAAGGTGATAAGGTGGTACTGGCTAGTTCACAGTGTCGGAATCCTAAAAAAAGAAACAACCCCAAAAAAAAGCAAAAAAAGGAGGTGGCATGGGGTAAAATCACCCCAATGGTGGCATTGCCCCTAAATTAAAAAATATATATATACAACTCTACGTATCTAACTCAGGGGAAAAAAGCCCGTACATGAGAAAGCAGGACTGAGCAGAGGGTGTTTTTACTTTTTATTTACTCGTTACATTTGCCAGCCTAACAAACCGGGTTAACCCACAGGCGATTACGGCGGCGCCGGGGGAAAGCTGTTTGCTGCACCCCAGCCCAAAGGCAGTTAGCGCGCTATTGCGACACCACAGAGTAGCAACAGAGTATCTGTTGGATGCAATTTAAAACCTAAGTCGGAAGCAATGGCAAGAATGTAGTTTTCCAGTTGCACAGATGACTTAAAAGTTGCGTTTAAGCTGAAACGTGACGGGGGGGGCACAGCACGGGGACCCTGTTACTTTCCATCCACTCCAACGCAGCTGTCGGCATTCAGCGCTTCTGCAGGGCTGAAAATACAGCAGCATCCATGTACCCCCCACACGCATTATCCATGCCGATTTCACGGATTAAGTGAAAACCCCAAACCAATTAAGTGAAAAACCCAAACCACAAATGCCATTTCTGCCCTGAAAAGGGGGAAAAAAGCTAAAGATCATGGCCTGATCACAGCAGGCACTGCCACAGCTGCACAAGAGTGTTCCAGGGGATGGGTCACACGATGCTGTCTGCGACGTCAGACATAGTAACACCAAGCTGAAGTCAGCGTCCGACCCATTCGCGGATCTATCGGTTTTGGTGGTCAGACCGAAGATTTGGTGGTGAAAAGAGCAGATTTTATGGCTGGTAAAATAAGACATACAATTTGATATTTGACAGCTGCCACAGGTACTAATGCTGCGTTCACAAGACCCACGTTCCGTAAAGGCTACGCACACAGGGAAGCTTTATTCCAGGAAGCAAAAGATTTGTAAAAAGAACATATATCATTTGATGAGAAAAAGCTTATTTTTCTTATCTGACTGTGAAATACAAGTGATTTAAGTACAGCAGCTGAACGAAGCAACTTCTTTCTTCTTAGTGCTTGAATTAACAGCTACATGGCTGGTTATTACAGTGAAGAGCTGACGGTTGACTGATCTCTTTATTCAATTCCTCTTGCTTTCAATTCTGATCGGACCCGCGGCAGATAATCAGGATCAGGGTAACCAAAACTAGGAGAAGAAGAAAAGAATTGTTTGGGCTACTTCTGCATTGAAGCACTTGGCAGTTCCACAGAACCTTCTCCTCAGCATCTCTTAAAACACTTCACAAGTTTCATGCACTTACTCTACCGAGAAAACAGGCCCTATTTTGCAGGTCAGAGAGGTGCTACAGACAGGGTAAAGCAAAAAACTGAAGAAAAGGAGCTGCTGAGCTCCAAACTGAGACAAAGAACTTCCTTGTCAAAGCTGGCTGCTGTCTCACTCTAAAATGACAGGGCGCTTGGGTAGGCACCTTTCTAAAAACCAGGCCTGAAGTGGGCAGGCATTCAGAACACGAATACAACGGCACCTCTGGATTTTATGGCATCACCAAAAGCACGCATGAAGCATGGGGTAACTAGGGAGAGCATTTGGGCAGAGTGGGGGATAAAGCACTTCCCACAGTTTTTGCTCTTTTACAATCCTAGCCCAGGAAGGAGGATGTAGACACCAATCGTCAGAGCTTGCAGGAAGACACCTGCCCCTGAGAGGCTGCAACAAGCTTGAAAGGTCTGTTCCATGCTCCCTCTTGCCTCTGCCAGACTTTTTCCGGGAGCCAAACAGTTTACTGACACAATCTGTCATGAATCTCATCTCTAAGAAAGGTAAATTGTGTGTGTTCAAGGGGTGGAATGTTGCGATCCTGACCATTATACGTTGAGGAATGAGAGATCCACACAGCAGCTAACCAGTGCCATGCCGTGCGCTGTGGCCTTCAGGCCTGTGTTGTGCTGTGCACATCCCGTGGCCACACAACAGACTCAGCCAGCCCACTCAGAGAGGTGCTGCGAGCAGCTCCCACTCCGTACTGGCCATTACGCCGCCCGCATGTCCTTGCCTTTATCAAGAAGTGCAGCAAGGCCTCAAGAAATGCTGAATAAAGTTGTCTTCTACCAAGAAAATCCTGTAATAGCCCAACCAACCAAAACGGGGTAACTCCCTCCATGGACGGGGTCAGCAAGGCGTCCTGTTGCATGCTGCATGGGGTTCCTTGCGTATAACATGGGGTTCCTTGCATATAAAAGGACATAACCATATCTGTACTACAATCTCTTCTTGCTGTTAGCTCTAGTAAGTAGAAATTCTTATTAAACAGAGTCCGAGCGCTGTCTCTACGGGGATCATAGTGGACCAGCACTACCCGGTGGAAAACAGCAGGTAACAGAAGAGGCCGAGATTAGGACTCCAACCTTAGCTGCTACTGAGGCCTTGCTGTCCTTTCCTGGACTAGAAGTAGTTTCTAATCAGAGGAGTTATTAACTGAGTAGGTGCTTTACACAACTCACTGGTGAATGAGTGGCCTCAGGGGCAACAGAAGACTAAGCTCATCCTTGTTCCAACTGTCCAAATTGGTGAAGGCGATTCGAGCCTGGATCAACAGAGCATTCCACAATCCCTTTGTCACTGACAAAATCCAAACGCTCTAATGCAGAAAATTCAGCGTAGCCTTCCCGACGCATCCGAGTAGCGATAAAATCACATAAAGAAAAGACCACTTACTTGGTAGGTCCTCCGAACATGGAAGTTTTGTGGTGAATGTCATTCCATGTGATAACGCTTTCTGCACCAGTGGTGCGCGACTGCCCCACCGTGAAAATCAGTTTTTGCTTAAAGGCCTTTTCGAGGAGCTGCAGAACTTCTCGCCCTTCTTTACTGTCAGGTAAGTAGGCTACTCGGGAAGTCGCATAGTAAGGTTGCCCTGGGTTTGGATGGTTGCTCTGTTTTGTAGAAAAAAACAAAACCAAACCACACGGTGTATGACAAATGCTCTGAAAATCACACATCCCCACTACTTTTTATCCTGCCTTCAGAAGGACACAGCATGACTGATTTTGAGGTGTTTTTTTCCTCACTACACAATTTCTTTCCTATTTCATTCACATTTTCTTGTCACCTCTCATGCATCCATCGTTAAACCTGTTTTTTCCCCTTCGGTCTCCCAAAGGCATGTCACCCCGCCCCCAACTTTTTCATCCATCCCATTTTCAGTCCCAGTTACGACTCTAAGCACGTGACGTACGCTGATTTCTCACCTGGCAAGCTTACAAGCCAGCTCACTATGCATTCACTGGTGACAGCAGCTGGGAGAATTCCTCAGAGAACCCTCATTATACTCGTGAAATCTTGTTTGGATGACAGCACCCTTTTGATTTCATTTCAGTTATTCCCAGTGTACAAATTAAAGACAGGTAGCTCTGTCCTGGGGCCTATAAAATGGAGAGCTACCATTTGACTATTTAATTCCTACTACGGTGCTGAATCACACCCAAAAATATCGAAGTGAAAAACTCCCAGCAGAACAAAGCAACGTCTCTCCTGGACACGCACCCAAATGATGGAAAAAGAGTTAATTTTATGCTCGATACTGGTTTTGTTGTTGGGAAAGCATCCCTTCTGAATCTTTAAATATACTTACGGTCTGAATACCGCCGTGCATCCTATACGTAATCTCGATAGTGCCACAGCCGGCATGGCCAGGGAGAGCTGAACGTATCGTTCGGGTTGTCATCGTTCCCTCTGGTTGGTCTCCTTCCATGGGTCCGTAGACAGCGTTGCAAACAGGACAGGTTTGCTTGTAAGTCATGGCCTTTTCAATGCAACTTTTGCAAAACGCATGCTTACACTTTTTCAGGATTTCTTTGTTACCAATCCTCTCCATGCAAATCGGACACACATCTCTCTTGTCTTCTTCCATCTTTGCCTTAGACTGTCCTTCTGAAGAAAGACTATTCTTTTGCCTACCATTGTATTTCTTTTCAGATGTTCTTGTAGCTGCTTGGTAGCTGAGCTCAGAGGAGTGTGGTGTCCTATTTTTAGGTTGTGTTGAGTCTTCAGTGCTAAGAAGGTTCAAAATGTACTTTTCAGCCTCATAAAGATGGTTTGGTAAACCACACAAGATGAATGTGTCTTCCTTCTTCTTAAGTTTTACATGCAGATCCTCCAACTGTTTTCCATTAAGCAGCTTATTTAATCTTTTCTTCTGACCTTCTGAAAGCTTCAAGCTGATGAGTTTTTCACTTAACATTGCGGAGGCATTCTGGAATGCATCAATGAAACTTTCAGTAGCATGGGAAGACATATCACAAGTTTTGATCCTCGGCCTAAATATTATGACCATCTTCTGGCCACATGAGCTGTCTTTCTTTTCTATTACTGTATCAAACTTGTCTTTAATGTCTTCAATTTCTTTGCTTAATATTGTTTCCAATAATTTAAACAGAGAAGCATCAACTTCAACTCCATTCCTGTATTGGTACAGTTCAGATGATATTTTCGTGTTCTTTTCAGCTTGGCTGTTCTCACCTTCCTCTGCGAGAAACCTTCTGGCAGCTAGAATCTCACTCGCTGGACCACGGAGTAGCAATTGATTCTCTTCCTCTTTGGCCAGAAGATTACTAAACTTAGCATGTAATTTCATGATTGTGTCACGTAATGTGTAACTGTTCGTCATGGGAATCTTTTCCTGCTTCAGGTCATTCACACTTCTCTGAAAAATTCTGATAAAAAATTCGCTAGCCCCCTGTATCGATGCAGGATTTTTATCAGAAGTGAAGCAGATCGATGTGGTTCCATTGTAACGATCTTCACTTCTTATACGAACCCCGAACTGTTCACAGAGCACTTGGATTTGTTCTTTGCAGGTATGACAGAAATACTCGTAGAGAGCCGACAGAACTGTAAGCTCATTCACTTCATCATTCGCACCATTTTCATCTCTCAAACTGTTCTTACTTTCAGAATGTGAGAAATCATGGTTTGGGTCATTGCTTGCAAGGATATCCTTAAAGAAGTGATAAGCTTTTTCAATATCTGTAAAATCGCCCGTCAGTTTCTCAGCGCCATCAATATCAGGATTTCTTTCTCTTTGTAAACGTGGACATATAAAGGTAATTTTCTCCCTTTGCTCTTCAGTGAACAGACTGGTATTCAAAGTCGCAGATACTGTAAGAAATATCTAAAGAGGAGACAAGAAGACGTCAATATTTGTTTTTTCTAAGGTTCTCTGCTTGCTGCTTCTGCATTTTGATTAAGGAAAAGCCCTGTCCATCTCAGCAAGGCCAGACTACCACAGACACACTTGCACGCCGTGTCTCTTTCACGGCACGTGTGCTGGCGTTACGTACACCCAAGTCTGCTGCTAAGTCAGCAGTGAAAGGGAGATTTGTGAATGCTGTCAGCACTGCAGGAGCGATCACGCTACCTTGGCTGCTCAGTTTGAGACTGTGACCAGCGCCCTCTGCTCCTGACCTCTGGTAACACGGTCAGCATAGCTAACGGCATTTTATACGGCAAACGGCCGTTCTCTGCGACCGAGCTGGTCACCTGTTAGTCCCTTTTCCCCTCATTATCAGGCCCTCAAGGTCCCGCGCACCAAGCAGACGAAGCAAACAGATTCCTTCTCCTCCTCCCTATGTCCTCAAGGTTCCTGGGCACCAGGCCGACTACTCCCCTCTTCACCGGCCTTGAAGATCCCAGGCACCCTGCCAGCTGGGTGGTGATGACCCCATCACAGCGCAGGGAAGCGTTCCAGAGCACATAGTCCGGCTTATAAAAATCAAGCAGTTACGAGTCCTAAGTGGGAACTTGGACCCAAACTGCCGCTGGACAGCCAGACCCATGATCCCGCCCCACTGGACAGCCAGACCCGTGATCCCGCCCCACTGGCCGGGGTCACCTCCACCATCCTCTGCGTCCTCCGCGGGCCGAGTGAAGGACTCGTGTTCATGTGGGTTTTTGAGTCTAGATTATGATTGTTGTATTGATACAGCAAGGCAAGTATTAACATTTGACCTAATCTACAGAGGATCCAGGTGATTAGAAACCATAAACTAAGATCTGCTATGAAATTCCGTCCTACACTACTTACAAAATTGTACTATGCTGATCCTGCTTGTAGAAATTCTGTGATATTCTGATCATTAATTCTATGCTCTGATAGTCATAAAATCCTGGTTTAGGAAGAAAAAAAAAAGCTTTAATTGTAACTACAACTTAGTGCCATCATCATTCTGCCAAGGAGCCCCAAAACAACCTGTTTCCTTCGTGTCAGGTGCCAAAGACACAACATGTTTTAACAGCACATATAAGTTATATTACATTGTTCTTTAATTGTATTAGACTTTCTAGTTTTCTCTACTATCTTTCCTTAAAAACTTCCTAAAAGCCATGCTTTAGTAACTCAAGATGAGGGCAGAAAACAGGATTCTGAGAAGTAATGTTGACCTCTCTACTTCGCACAGACAGGAGGATAGGGACATTTGCAGTACACCACTACGGAAGTCAATGACCAACACGCTAGCACGTCCCATACCTCAAAAGCTACACCCATGCTACTACACAAAACAGAGTAAACCCTCTGGGCCAGACATCAGTAGAGCCACATCCACGTCATGTAGCATGTAGCCTGGCCCTACCCCATGTCCCTAACACACAGCGGATGTTTCCTTCTCTGCGTAACTTCTAGTTCAAAGTGTCTGCAACAACATTTGTTGCGCTACATCCCATCAGAGCCGATTTGTTTAACACTGAGGCAAGGGATGGAAATAATCAGGGCTGTTTGAAGGTGCAAAACATGCTGAAATAGTGTTATAGGTCTGTGAAGGAAGAAGGGATCCCAATCTCATCCAATTCTTCCACCACCTGGGAGGAGTCCTTGATTCATACCATCTCCTGAAACCTGCCAGGGCGCAGCTTTGGGGAGTAGTGGTTGGCACAAAAGCCATGCCGCCTGTTCGCATGTGTGGCACTCAAAAGTTGCTCCCTGCCCCCATTCTATTGCCTAAGATGAAGTAACTGACACGTGCTGGGTGTGAAATACTAAAGTGCAACATAAAGCAGCGCAAAGGGCTCGTGGAACTACCAGCAGGGCGGGTGACGCCGCTCGTGATGGCTTTACCTTCCTGGTAATGGCATCTCCTGCCGTGTCCCCATGGCCTTCGGCTGCCGGCTGCTCCTGCTGAGGCGGGGAAGAGCTGGAAGGGCTGGAGTAGCTGGGGGAGGCTTGCTCTGTCAATTGGCTCGTGCTCAGGTCCCCTTCTCCCGGCTGGATGTAGATCTTCAGGCGCCTGTCACCAATTTCCAAGACGTGATCCGTGCGGGATTCCACGTTCTTCTTATCTGCAGGGATTTGGGGATTTATGACGGATGAAGAAACTCGACGGCTACAAGCGGCCAC